AGGAGCATTAAGTGTAGAACCACTAGACTGAGGAACAGCTTCTACCCTGAGGCTGTTAGACTCATGAATCTCTAACCAGAATAATCACTGTGATGACACTTGATTTAGTGATATGTGACTTATCCATGCTGCTGTATTCCATCCATCCATCCATCCATCCATCCATCCATCCATTCATCCATTATCTTCCTCTTGTTCTAGATCAGGTCTCGGGGGCAGCATCTTGAGCAGGGGATCCAGACATCTCTCTCCACAGCCTCTTCCATCTCTTCTGGGAGGACTCCAAGGTGTTCCCAGGACAACTAAGAGACATAGTCTCTCCAGAGCGTCCTGGGTCTTCCCCGGGGTCTCCTCCCAGTAGGACATGCCCGAAGCGCCTCCATAGGGAGGTGCCCAGGGAGCATCCTTACCAGATGCCCGAACCTCCTCAACAAGCTCCTCTGGATGTGGAGGAGCAGTGGTTATTCTCTGAGTCTCTCCTGATAACTGAACTTCTCCCCCTGTCTCTGAGGGAGAGTCCAGCTCCTGCAGAGGAAACTCATTTCAACCTCCTGGATCCACAATCTCATTCATTCAGTCTCTACCAGAGTTCATGACCAGAGGTGAGGGGAGGAACGTAGACCGACCAGTAAACAGAGAGCTTTGTCTTACAGCTCAGCTCCCTCTTCACCACAACGGACCGGTACAGAGTCCACAATACTGCAGATGCTGCACTAATCAGTCTGTCAGTGTCACGCTCCATTCTTCCCTCACTCGTGAACAAAACCTTGAGATACTTGAACTCCTCCCCTTGAGGCAGAACCTCACCCTTGACCTGAAGAGAACAATCCACCCTTTTCCAGTTGAGGACCATGGCCTCAGATTTGAAGGTGCTGGTTCTCCTCCCAGCCACTTCACACTCGGCTGTGAAGCGCTCCAGTAAGAGCTGAAGATCACGGCACGATGACACCAACAGGACCACATCATCTGCAAAGAGCAGAGATGAATCCTGAGGCCACTGAACCGGAAACCCTCCACCCCCTGGCAGCACCAAGAAATTCTGTCCATAAAAGCTATGAACAGAATCGGTGACAATGGGCAGCCCTGGAGGTCCAACTCCCACCCTGAATTCAACGAGTCACGGTTCTTTATTTGTCGTTCACACCTCATGTGGTGGAACAAAATTGTGTACACAGGGTCCCAGTTACATCCAACAATAAAATGTAAAATAAAAACAGTAACAAGATCAAAGATAAGAAATAAGAAAAACGTTGATAAAAATACAAGTACTCGTAGAACAAAAACAATATGCCCAACAGCAGCACGAACATGAGTCTGTGTGAGCAGACGAGCACGAATGAACACAACATTAAACAGATCAGCAGCAACATGAAACAGATCAGCAGCAAAATGAAACAGATCAGCAGCAACATGATGTGATTTTTCACAGTGATTATTCTGGTTAGAGATTCTGGTAGAAGCTGTTCCTCAGTCTAGTGGTTCTACACTTAATGCTCCTGAAGGGGTCCAACTTACTGCCGGCAATGAGAACCAAACTCTCACACCGCTTGTATCGGGACTGAACAGCCCGTAACAACGGCCCCCAATCCCATACTCACGGAGCACCCCCCACGGTGTACCTCGAGGAACACAGTCCAATACCTTCTCCATGTCCACACAACACATGTAGACTGGATGGGTAAACTCCCATAACCCCTCGAGCACCCTAGCGAGGGTAAAGAGCTGATCTAGTGTTCCATGGCCAGGACAGGACCCACATTGTTCCTCCTGGATCTGAGGTTTGACCAACGATTGGACTCACTTCTCCAGTACCCTGAATGGACCTTACCAGGGAGGCTAAGGAGAGTGATGCCCCTATAATTGGAGCACAACCTCCAGTCCTCCATTTCGAAGAGGGGAACCACCACCCCAGTCTGCCAATCCAGTGGCACTGCCCCAGATGTCCACACAATGTTGCAAAAGCGTGTCAACCAAGACAGCCCCACAACATCCAGAGCCTTAAGGAAATCAGGTGAATCTCATCCGTGTATGGAGCCCTGCTGCCTCAGAGCTTTTTAATGCTGCAGTATTCATTCGTACCCATCTGCTCACACAGGCTCAGGTTCGGGCTGCTGTTGTTGCACCGTATTGTTTTACATTAGTGTTTAGCATATATCTTAGATCTTTTAGCTTACTGTTTGGCGTTCGTTTAGCATATATCTTAGAATCTTAGATCCTTCTATACCGTTTCTTTTTATACTTTTTTTTTGTATTTTTGGGTGTAACTGGGACTTTGAGTACATAATTTTGTTCTACCTCATGTACCACAAGTGATGCAAATGACAATAAAGAACGTTGAACTTGAAGACTTTAAAGCAAGACACATTAGCAGTCTGACAGTTTATTCATTAAACGGGGACCTCAGTAGCATGTGGAAGAACCATACGCAGCCACAACAGTCTGGCCCCTCCTCCTCATGCTCCTCACCAGCTGTGGGATGGACTCCCATTCTTCAGCCTGTATTTGAAGCAGACAGCCAGTGCGGTTGTGTTTGTCACTCTGGAACAAACAGCTGGTCCCACAGGTGCCCAATAATGCAGGAGTGCAGACAGGCCATTGAATCATATCCACTCCTGAATTCTGGAGGCAGATTCTGATAGTCCTGCTCTATAGGGGTGAGCATTGTCATCTTGAAGGATAGAGATCATCCCAGACTGGAGATTTGGGGTTGCTACTGGTTGCTGAATCTCATCTTGTGGGACGCCCACTTCCAAGCCTGTCCCTGACATCCCTCCATCTGTGGACCGTGGTCTTCAACTTGTGCATGGTCTTTAGAGCTCGCTCCAAATAATGCAGCATCTTGGTTGTAAGGAGCACCATTCATTCATTCATCCATCCATCCATCCATTTTCTTCCGCTTATCCGGGGTCGGGTCGCGGGGGTAGCAGCCTAAGTAGGGAGGCCCAGACTTCCCTCTCCCCAGCCACTTGGGCCAGCTCTTCCGGGGGAATCCCGAGGCGTTCCCAGGCCAGCCGAGAAACGTAGTCCCTCCAGCGTGTCCTGGGTCTTCCCCTGGGCCTCCTTCCGGTGGGACGTGTCCAGAACACGTCCCACCGGACGTGTCCATTCATTCAACCTTTATTTATACAGATAAATCACACTGAGCCTCCAAGACTCATTACAAGTGAGACCTGTCTGAAGCACTTCACCAGTTTGAAGTGGCTCATTGACACAGGTCCGATCCAGATCAGTCAAATGTGGCATAGCTGGAGCTGAGTGCTGAAGCACCTGGGACATCAGAAACTCAGAACTGTTTCTAATGGGTGGACCCTGCAGACTTACCTCTGCTGCTCAACCCACAGCGGCATGTTCTTAACAAATGTGGAGACTTTAAGGTGAAAGAAACTGTTTTTAACGGACGTATCACCAAAATAATCGTTAGGACAAAGAAATGATCAAACACATGTCCTTAATTCTTTTGAGACTTTTAGATGAATTATTTATCCATTGAGATCTGCGGGGACAGGGTCTGTGAGGACAGGGTCTGTGGGGACAGGGTCTGTAGGGACAGGGTCCGTAGGGACAGGGTCTGTGGGGACAGGGTCTGTGGGGATAGGGTCTGT